CCTGAAGTAGTGACCATATATTGGAGACAGGAAAGAGGAAAGAAGAAAATGTCTAAGTTTGAAAATAGCGCCTATTCACTTTTCTTTTACAATTATGATTCTAAGCAGCTGGCAACAAAAAAGACCTGTATAGAAAGCCATAAGGAGCACACCTGTAGACCGCACCAAATTAGTTTTGTGTAGCGTGAGCAGTGAGCAAAACATAACTTCAGGGGTCCTAAGAGATGTTTCCTCCACCACAAAAGGGAATAGGGATTTGAGCTGGACTTAGGCAGATGTTAAGAGGTTCTGGGAAAATTTTATGGAAGTGGTGGTGTATCCTGATTTCATATTGTCAGGATGCAGAGACAGCATAATAATTGGCAATCCTGTGTTTGGGAGCCAGGGAGAATTAAAACAGAGTTTAGATTGTCAGAGTTAAAGGAGCCTTAGTGAGGTTTGGAGGGACAGCTAGTCATGTACCTGGTTAAAGAATGTCCAATTCCCAATGAGGATTACTGAGAACTCAAGAACAATGGCAATGGGTTTTTGATCATACTGCACGTACTGGCTTTGGGGGAGCCTAGACAGTTTGGATGCTCACCTTACTAGACCTGGATGGAGGTGGGTGGTCCTTGGACTTCCCACAGGTCAGGGAACCCTGATTGCTCTTTGGGCTGATGAGGGAGGGGGACTTGATCGGGGGAGGGGGACTTGATGGGGGGAAGGGGGAGGGAAATGGGAGGCAGTGGCGGGGAGGAGGCAGAAATCTTTAATAAATAAATAAATTAAAAAAAAAAGAATGTCCAATTCCAAACATGATCTCCAGGTGGCCTTCTTAGAACATCATTTATTTCCCATGAGAGCTATTTTTGTATCACTGGAAACAACATGGCCTCACTGCCAACAGGGTTTTTTCACTTCCTTAAATCCTGCTTTGGACAAAGGCAGTCAAGCTGAGCCTGAAGTACATTACACTGAGATCTAGGCCATATGAGTCGGGGCACTCTGTTCTTCAACAGCTGTATAGGTCACCAAGAGACTAATTTTTGTTTTTCACAGATGAGTGCACTAGGAGATCATGGGTGTCCACTCTGGCATGTTTGGGACATGGAGTTTCTGCTTCATGATAGACAATGTTCTTTGACAGCACCTGTATTTCAACACGCCTTTTCTGTCACCCAAGATTTCTGAAGAGAAGTAAATGCTGGCCTTGGCTTCATTCTCTCTAAATACAGACTGTTACTAAATTCCAACAACTACCCTTTCTCCTAGAGTCCAGGGGCAAACCAAGGTACTATTCCACTACAAGCCACTCTGGGGAACCAGTGAGTTTATTAGGCTTCCTTACAGGGTGTAGATGAGAGGTTACCTACACCAGATGTTGGTGCTCTTCCCCCAAAAAACCTCACCAGACCATCTTTATATCTCTGTCTCCACACAGCTGCATTCTTTACATACAGCTACATATCTCTCTTTACATACATATATCACTCTCCTACACGGTCATACATATCAATACACAGTTACATCACTTTTCCCATGGCTACACATCTTTCTTACATACGTTTCTCTTCTACATCTCATTTCTATTCAGATTCACCTTCCTTGGCTCCACACAGTTAACATTCTTCATAAATTCTCCACATAGCTACATTCCTTCATGTTTCTTCTCACATCTCCCTTTCAGCACACATACCCTCATTCGTACACCTGCACAGCTCTTTTTCTAGCCACTCCCTACATAACTCAACACAGTTTTCTCTCCTACACCGCTCTCCTTCTCACAGCCAAACTCTGGACAATTACATGTTACATTTTCAGGGCCCAACCCATTCTCATAACACAAGATAAGTCACATAGTTTCCCTTAGGCTAAGAAGGTCACATCAACTGGCCAGCGAGTAACTGTTTGGCCATGCACGTAGCTCTAACTTGGTGAGAGTTCTCAGACAGAAAGTAAACAGTTGGTTGAACCTTGAGCCTGTAACATAAATTGGGACTACGTGCAAAAAAGTCAAGTACTGAGAAATTTTTGTCTACTAAAGTTGCTTCTAGCCTGACCTTGAATCAGCAGTAAATAACACCTGGGAATTTGTCCTTGTTTATTTGTCTCTAGGAGCAACCAGATATTTGTCTCCAGGGGTAAAGAGCTCTGAAGTCTAGAATTAGCTGTCTTTGTGACTGAGAAAACTATTACTTTCTTATGTCAGTCTGAATAATGGAAGATATCTTAGTATTTCTATTCTTCAGAATTATATAATTAAGCAGGAATCATCTTCCTGACTATCCACAGCTATATGTATGCCCAATAGATGGAATATTTACATGAGATAAACACACAAGCAACAGAAAAACACCCATAGCAATTTTTAGGGAAGAAATGTAGTTCTTAGGAAAGAAAGGAAGTGGCACATGAGAGAAATTACAGACTGGCCTGGTCTACAGAGTGAGTTCCAGGACAGCCAGGGCTACACAGAAAAACCCTGTCTTTGGTGGAGAGAGTAAAAAAAAAAGTCATTGAAGACAAAACTCATTCTAATTTTTTTTGTTAAAACAGCAAAATGTGTTTGTTTTTAATGATCATTTACAAATACACCTCTCAATTATTGCTAAGTTATTAAATTTAAGTATATTGTTGCAATTTTGAGAAAGGGAGTATAGGCAAGACTTAAGACTTTGGGGTGGTTGGTGGACCTCCACTCTCTGTATGTCTGTGCTGGCCACCTGTGTGGCCCTGATGACTAGGCTGAGTGGCTGCTCTGGGCACAGACACAGTATGTGGCAGCAATCTCAGCTGCACATTCTGGCCCCAAGCCCATAGCTGCTGTACCTGGGCAGTAGGGTGCTGGAAACTTTGTGAAGGAAGGATCTGCCCAGGACTTTGGCTAGAACCCACCTGGCACACCACAGTTGTCTGAGGTTGGCAAACCCTCCTGGCCTCAGCAAGGTTAAAGAGACCAGTTTGCTGAGTTGGCACTGCCCATTGCTGAACGCTAGCTCCCTGGCTGCCCTGGTAAGTTTGTGGTGCTGGCTCTGGAGGGATAGGAGCCCTAGGTAGTTGATGCTGTTTTGGAATGAACACATACAAAGGCTGGGGCTGCTCAGGCTGCTGGGGCTGCTGGGGCTGCTGGGGCTGCTGGAGCTGCTGGGACTGCTGTGGCTGCTGAGGCTGCCAGGGCTGCCAGGGCTTCTGGGACTGCTGTGGCTGCTGGGGCTGCCAGGGCTGCAAGGGCTGCCGGGGCTGCCAGGGCTGCCAGAGCTGCCGGGGCTGCCAAGGCTGCCAGAGATGCCGGGGCTGCTGGAGCAGCTGGGGCTGTTGGGGCTGCTGGGGCTGCTGAGGCTGCTGCAGCTGCTGGGGCTGCTGGGCCTGCTGGGCCTGCTGGGACTGCTGGGACTGCTGCAGCTGCTGGAGCTGCTGGGACTGCTGGGACTGCTGCAGCTGCTGGGACTGCTGGGACTGCAGCAGTTGCTGGATCTGCTGGGACTGCTGGAGCTGCTGGAGCTGCTGGGACTGTTGCAGCTTCTGGGACTGCTGCAGGAGCTTCTGGGACTGCTGGGACTGCTGGGACTGCTGCAGCTGCTGGAGCTGCTGGGACTGCTGGGACTGCTGGAGCTGCTGGAGCTGCTGGAGCTGCTGGGACTGCTGGAGCTGCTGGGACTGTTGCAGCTGCTGGGACTGCTGCAGCTGCTGGAGCTGCTGGGACTGCTGGAGCTGCTGGAGCTGCTGGGACTGCTGGGACTGCTGCAGCTGCTGGGACTGCTGCAGCTGCTGGGACTGCTGCAGCTGCTGGGACTGCTGCAGCTGCTGGAGCTGCTGGGACTGCTGGAGCTGCTGGGACTGCTGCAGCTGCTGGGACTGCTGCAGCTGCTGGAGCTGCTGGGACTGCTGGAGCTGCTGGGATTGCTGCAGCTTCTGGAGCTGCTGGGACTGCTGGGACTGCTGCAGCTGCTGGAGCTGCTGGGACTGCTGCAGCTGCTGGAGCTGCTGGAGCTGCTGCAGCTGCTGGAGCTGCTGGGACTGCTGCAGCTGCTGGAGCTGCTGGGACTGCTGGAGCTGCTGGGACTGCTGGAGCTGCTGGGACTGCTGGGACTGCTGGAGCTGCTGGGACTGCTGGAGCTGCTGGGACTTCTGGGACTGCTGCAGCTGCTGGAGCTGCTGGGACTGCTGCAGCTGCTGCAGCTGCTGGAGCTGCTGGGACTGCTGCAGCTGCTGCAGCTGCTGGAGCTGCTGGGACTGCTGCAGCTCTGGCTGTGGATACAGCCATGACTGTGGCTGTTGGTGTGGTTGCTGTGGCTGCTGTGTTTGTGACTCTGGGCGAAAAATGACAGTGCCAGTTGGAATCCTGACAGCTATGGGGCCTGAAGTACTTTTTAGAATTAATTGCACAGAGCCCTGTGGTGTGCTGGTCTGGGTACTGGGCATCTGACCTATAGGAGACAGAACGTCTCTGGAAGAGGTTTCTGTAAATGCTAGGGCACTAGTGGGGAAGCTCTGCACCTGGGGTGAACCTCTCTTCAAACCAGGGGATCCCTGTGCTAGGCTAAACAAATTGGTAACATTTTGGGCAGTGCCACTGCTGGGGCTCTGGGTGACTGGATGGCTTTCTGATGAGCTGGCAGAGGGCTGGACAGCTGCAGCAAGGGTATTGATACTGCTCATTCCCCACAAAGTTTGCTGAGGAAGACTAGCTGATTGGAGAGAAGGAGCAAGTCTTGGAAACTTCCTACCTCTGACTGCTATTGAGGGAGGATTGGGTGCTGAAGAGCCCTTATCTGAGGTGGAGGGTAGTGTGAACAGTGGAGCTGGGCTCTTCACTCTTGTCTCTAAGACTGGGGATGTCACTGATGGGGAATTGGCCTTCATCCCTTGGGAGGGCTGGCCAAGACAGATGGAGTCATTGGATCCCTGCAGCTCTTTGCTTAGGCATTCAGCCTGGCTCTGGGCAGACCCTTGGCACACATCCGTTGCCTTCCCAGACTCAATCTTTCCCCCAGCTATAGAACCAAGTAAACAACCACTTAGGGCAACTTGGGGAAGAAGCATCTGACTATCACATCTGCCCTCTGTCGGTGACCCTATTTCAGAAGAAAAAAATGGGTCACTAAGGGACTGCATCACACTTGGCTCTGTTTCCCATGGATGACAGCCCTTTTCATAATCAAATAAATAACCACATGTTACCTCAGGATCTGGCCAGGCTGTGGATTCTGAGTCATCTGGCCAGGCTGTGGATTCTGAGTCATCTGGCCAGGCTGTGGATTCTGAGTCATCGCCATGGGGCCTAGACTGCTTCCCTTTAGCGTATTTCTGCACATCCACCTCTGAAGGGGCCACCAGTTCACAGGGTTTCTGCTTCCATGTATCTACACACTTTCCTGCTTCAGGGATCTTCAGATCGTATGGGTCACCTGGTTTGATCTCTGCTCGTTTTCTGCAAGCGATCATTGTTGCAACATCAGGAGGAGATGTACATGCATGCTTTTCTTCCTCCAGGTCTAGACAGGACCAATCATGACCCATGAAGGATTTTTTCATGGAGGCTATCATTATCTTCTTCTCATTAAACAGCAATTTGTTGGCCGTGCAGGTGACAGCAACAGAAGGATCCAGACACAGTGGCTCTGCTGTAGCTAAGATCAGTTGGCTCTCAAGCTCCAGTTTTGCTTCCTGGGTCCACTGACTGCTGTCACTTGTCATGGACTCGACATCGCTTACTAGAGACTGCATCGTTGGACGTAAGAGAATATGCCGGACTTGGCAAGCAGGAGAGGACACAGCAGCCTCTGCAGCAGGCTCCTCGGGAGGGTAGATGTCACCACACTGCCTGTAGTCTCGGATTTCTGCTATGACACAGCCACTGTGAAAAACATTCACAGGAGACTTTTCCAGAATATCAATCAGAAAGGAAGGTAACTCTTCAGCATCCAAATATTCAAGCAGTTTCTGTCCTACATACGGCCCTGGATAGGGCTCTATAAGGACTCCATCTTTATCCTTGAGCATGAGAGAATAGCCCTGGTTTTCTGGGTACAGGCTGACCACTAAACATGGCAATGGCTCTCTTTTCATAAGCTTCTCTAGCAAGTTGACATTGCTTCGAAGGCCCTCTGCTTCTGGCTCCTTTTCACACTCCTCCACATAAATGTCATACAGTTTTTCCTGAAGAGATTTTTCCCCACAAGACGTGGGTTTCAGTGGAGGGGGTTGCTGCTGAACACTCTCAATAATATCATCTGTCCGCTTCCAAGCCTCCTCTAAACTCCAGTCCATCATAACGGCAAGTCAGGACACTTAAAAAAAAAACATGCCCTGTCAGCAATAGGAAGTGGCAATTATGAACTGTTGTGGTTTTCCTGTCTGCTTAGGACTCCATTGCCACCCTAATTTAATGTGGAAACCAGGAATCCAGCCTTCCCAACACAGCCCATGCCATAGGACCCCATGGCCACCCTAATTTAACGTGGACACCAAGAATCGGGCCTACCTGCCACAGCCCATACCATAGGACTCCAATGCCACCCTAATTTAATGTAGACACCGAGACTCGGGCCTACCTGCCACAGCCCATACCAACGGACTCCATTGCCACCCGAACTTAATGTGGATACCAAGAATCCGGACTCCCCGCCACAGCCCATACCATAGGACTCCATTGCCACCCTAATTTAATGTGAAAACCAAGAATTCAGCCTCCCTGGCACTGGCCATGGCCTACAACTCCATTGTCACCTTCATTTCAGACACCAAGAATCTGGCCTCCAGGCCACAGGCCATGCCTAACAAATCCATTGCCACCCTAATTTAACGTGGACACCAAGAATCGGGCCTCCCCGCCACAGCCCATACCATAGGACTCCATTACCACCCTAATTTAACGTGGACATCAAGAATCCGGCCTCCTAGCCACAGGGCCCGCCATGAGCCCGAGAGCGTCGCCGTATGCTACGTCCACACGGCTGAGGTGACAATTCTAGAGGCCACCGGGATGCTCCGTACCTCAAGGGATTAAAAAACAATAACGGCCAACACACCTAGGGACACTAATTTCTCAAGAGTGTCTAAAAATTCGGTACCTGTCAGTCCTCCGCGGTGGGTGCAAACGGGTGGCCGCTGCGCCAACGATGACGACCAGCGGCCGAGAGGCGCCTCTCAGGCGGAATCCTCGCTGGCCCGAAGTTCCTCACGAAGAGGAGGCGCGTGCGCACGTCAGGCCACACTTGCTTTCCGGCTGTGTGCCGCTGGGGGGGTCACAGGGGGGTTACACTTCCGCTGCAGAGTGGGAGGCCGTGGGGGGAGGGGAACCACGTCACCCATTTAACTTCCAAAGCCATGCGCACCACACCGAAGTATAAGCAGAGCCCCCAAACACAGAGCCCTTCAGTTAGGAGGTCATTAGCCACCAATTTTGATAGGAAGTCAACTGCCGCTGTCAGCCATGACCCGTGTCATGTCTCGATAGGACCTTTAAGAACGGAACAGGCTGGCGCGGCAAAGGGCTTGCTGTGGTGGCGCACGCCGTTAGTTACAGCCCGCAGGAGGCAGAGGCAGGAGCACCTCTGTGAGTTCGCGGCTGCATAGACATGTCCAGGACAACCAAGGCTCCGTAGTGATGACCCTTACTTACTTACACTGACAGGCTCTGGTCTCACGGTTTTCACAGAGGCGGACACATAACATGGTGTTCCTATTCACAACCATTTATTTGTGTGTGTGTGTGTGTGTGTGTGTGTTTCTTTATGCATTTCAATTTTTCTTTGTTTTGATGAAGGATTTGAAATGGTTTGATTCTTTGACTACTTATAGACTTTTGTTTTCTAATCCTTTCCTAGCCCCATTGTTGCCAGTCGTTGGACAGGTGTTTAAAAGATTCTCTAATGTTATAACTTACATACAGCAATGACATATACTGACAATAAGACATTCAATGACAAGAATCCCACATAAGTTCCTGAGACTCCTAAATTATAGATGAGTTTAAAATAAATGCTTTTTTTTATTATACAGTCTTCGGTAATTCATACAAAAATCCAATGTACCTAGAGCATATCAACTCCCGCTTAACTGGGCACATTATTTTCTACTGGATTAAAAGCACTTTAGTTAAGATTTCTTGAAAACTTTTGATCCTGCTTAATGTGCTGGCTTTGTGGGAGCCTAGCCAGTTTGGATGTTCACCTTCCTAGATATGGACGGAGGAGGGAGGACCTAGGACTTACCACAGGGCAGAAAACCCTGATGGCTCTTTGGACTGGAGAGGGAGGGGGAAAGGAGTGGGGGGAGGGGGAGAAGGGTGGGAGGAGGGGGAGAAGGGTGGGAGGAGGGGGAGAAGAGTGGGAGGAGGGGGAGGGAAATGGGAGGCTGGGAGGAGGTGGAAACTTGTTTTTTTTTTCTTCTCCTTTTCTCAATAAAAAAAATAACTGATTTTTTTTTTTTTGGTTTTTCGAGACAGGGTTTCTCTGTGGCTTTGGAGCCTGTCCTGGAACTAGCTCTGTAGACCAGGCTGGTCTCGAACTCACAGAGATCTGCCTGCCTCTGCCTCCCGAGTGCTGGGATTAAAGGCGTGCGCCACTACCGCCCGGCTTAAAAATAACTGAATTTTTTAGTTACTTTTTATGACCAAAGATATACCTTGCTATTCATCCCACAGAAAATTAGTGCCTACAATATACCAAAACAAAAACAAAACTTTCAAAAACAAAACATTAATAAAATAAATAATTCAATTAAAAATGGGCTATAGAACTGAACAGAAAATTCTAAAAAGAAATGCAAATACATATGAAACCTTTTTAAAGTGCTCAATAGCTTTTACCACCAGGGAAATGTAAATTATACTATTTTATTATTGCACTTCACCCCAGTTAGAATGGCCAAGATTAAAGCAAATTACAGGCCGAGCTGGCAAGGAGGCAGAGAAAGGGGAATACATATTCATTGCTGGTAGGAGTGCAAACTGGTACAGCCACTATGGAAATCAGAAATCAATGTAAAGAGTGCCTCAAGAATCTGAAAATTGCTGAGGGGCATGGTGGTGGATATCTTTAATCCCAGTATTCAGGAGGCAGAAGTGGGCAGATGTCTGTGAATCAAGACATCCAGGACTGTGACACAGAGAATCCTTTTCTAAAAAATAAAAAAATAAAAAAAAATTAAAAAAGGTGAAAATCGACTTACCATAATTTCCAGCTATAGCACTCTGGTCAAATACACAAAGGGCATATCTCTGTATCCTATTACAGAGATACTTGCTTATCCATGTTCATTGCTGGTCTGTTCCCATTTTGTGTAAATAAAAATAAAAAGTTTTAATTTTAGCACGTAAAACTATATACAACAAAAATGTTATAAAATAAGAATTACATTTACCATATTCAGTCCATTTGTATTATTCAAATTCAGAGAAAATACTTCACTGCCTATCTTATCTTATCTTATCTTAGTGATTCTAAAGTTGTATACCTAATTTACTTTCTATCATAACCAAGGATAAGTATAACTCTAATTATTTAGTCTTTAACTCCATCAAAGACCCCAGAAGGAATTAATATTACCTAACAATAGAGAAATCTAGTTGCCTGGATAGTCACCCAAAGTTTCTCTGCAATGTTGGGACATCCACCTTTATAAGGTTTAGAGTATCTGACAGATTTTACAGTGAAGCAGGAAATTTGAAGGGCTGACCTGCCCTGTATTGGCAAAATTCATCAGTCGCTTTCCTCTGTGCTCTGTAGAATGTCTGCAGACTCTTCCATAAAGCAGGAACCCTGAAGGATCATCCCACCTTGTTTTGACAAAGTTCAGAAGTCATTTTCATGTGGATCCTGCATGTCCAGTTTATATCACATACTATCAAGCAGTCAAGGCAAATGCAGTTTCTTACCCAAATGGCTAATCTTGCCACAAAGAAAGCAAACTTCTCTGAAGTAAATTGGTGCTGCCAGAAGCAGATGTGTCTCATCATGAAAAACCTTAGCTTATTAAACATCTTAAAGGCCATATTTTGTAGGTTGTTGAAGTGTTTGAAAATCATTTATCTGAAAAACAATAAAAAAAAACTTAAATGTGTGGTCAGACATAATGGTACATGTCAGGAGGCAGAGGCAGGCAGATTTCTGAGTTTGAGGTCAGCCTGTTCTACAGAGTGAGTTCCAGGACAGTCAGGGCTACACAGAGAAATCCTGTATTAAAAAGCTAAAATAAATTAATTAAATTAAATTGAAAATGACTAAAATAAACAAAAGGTCTTTAAGCTTAAAAAAATCCCTGAAATTGCTGTTACACAAAATACCTCCTATGAATATAATAGACATGGGTGCCTGGACAACAACAAAGGAAAAAGAAAATCATTTATCTGTCTAAAATATACCTATTTAACCTTGAAAACATATGTAATGTGACTACAAGTTTGATTATTATAGATTAACTACTAACCTCATTTCTTAATTATTGCATTTTTAAATGAGCCGCATAAGCACAATAGAGTAGAAGCATATATACAATGTAACAAAATTAACTTTAAATGTGTACCCATATACCAAAATCCATGCCAATGCAAAATATTTGAGATTAATAGCTGCCTTTTATCCCAAATTCCTATATTTCCCTAAATGATAACACACATTTATAAGCCACCAAATAAATAAAAGCCTCCCACACCCTCCTTGGGAAGGTGGGCATCATGTTCTTCAAACTGCATTCTGTTGTCTGTGGGCAAAGACATCTTTAGGTGTCCCTGAGAAAATCTGAGATAATGACCAAGTCCTGGGAAGACCAGCTATTACCTTTGTTGATCTATATCACCTATCAAGATTCAGGAGGTCTCCTTTGATCAAACCGGATCCATATTATTCCTGAAGGGACCCAGAGCTTCTTGTCTCCTGTGGGAAGAAAAGCAAAAAATAAATAAAAATAAAAATAATTAAAAAAAACCCTCTTCTCCAAAGCATTTTTAACTTCCCTTTGAAAAATGTATTTTTGACTTCTTTTTTAAAGTTAAGATAGCCCTAAAGTATCTAGGTTGGTTCAGTTTAGCAGTCCTGCTCACAATCCCATGTCTGTCAACAGCTGTCTTTTGCTCATCAGCATTCAAAATCAACACAATACTACGTATAACCCAGACTCCCTGTGTGTTTCCCATCTTCTGTGGCTCTTTTCTTTTCTATTACTTTTACTCTCTTTAAAGACTTTATTATTTTTTAAACTATTTCTTTCTATGACTGTCTATACACACACTCTTTCTTTCTTAAGCCTATGCACATTGTAAAGCACCC